CATTTTCTGTAGGGTTTCCTTCTCCATCCATTTTCTGTAGGGTTTCCATCTCCATCCATTTTCTGTAGGGTTTCCATCTCCATCCATTTTCTGTAGGGTTTTCTTCTCCCAGACTTACCTGGGCATGTGCTTACAAGTGCAAACAAACCACCTCCCCACACTCAGAGAAAGGCCTTCAGTCTGTTTGTAAAATAAGCATTATTATACCCCAAATTCCTCTCCCTTGTCTCATCTTGCACGTGGTTTCTTTTATACAATTTCCTCTCCCGTGCATTCGTGTTGCTATAGTGATTGTGTTTCTGCATTTCATTTTAGTGCACATGAGTTTTCAGGTGTGCCATTCACCAGCTGCTAAAACTGAGAAGGTATATTCGGAGGTTCTGTCCCAGGTACTGCATGGAGGAGCTCCGTGTGTGACACACATGAAGTCTTAACCACAGAGAGTAAAGCCGGGGCTCAGAGCAGCCAGGCGCTCTGCTCTCACTCAGATGCTCAGGCTGCTCAGGGATTCAGATCCCGGGTCTTTCCAAGCAGCTGGCACTCTTGTGGGGAAAGAATCCCAGAGACCTAGCTCCAAATCAGCAGGGGAGGCCACTTATCAAGAGAGGTCATGTGTGACTTATTAACAGCCGCAGTCTGACGTAATGCTTGGCTAAAACAAGCATTAATCTCTCAAGGAACAAAAGCACACTGGAACACTGGATTCTTTGGGTAAGAAATTTAGGAAAGGTAAGTTTTCTAGATATCAGATTGCAAACTTGTGTGTGCCCACATTTTGACGTTCATTGAGGGGTTTACTCAATGACACTACAAGCCCTCTGTGAACCCCAAAGTCAAGCTTCAGTGCAACTGTTTCAGACGCCTTGCTCCTTTGTTGGATACTTCCATGAAGCATGAAGGAGAGGGTGGGCAATGGCAAGAGTAACAGAATAGAAGATTCACGTTCTTATACTGTCAGCTCAGTGCTGTGATAGGGGCCACGCCCAGGGCCTCACAGCCAGGCAGTTGGTCTAGCTCAAGCAACAGCCCAGCCTTTAATCCACAGCGTAAACAAAGGAAGAGAGGGGGCTAAGGCAGGGAGGTCAGGCTCAGGGGCTTTCCTGTTTGACCAGTGACCTCAGGTCTTGTCTTAGAGTTACTAGAGCTGTGACAGACACCATCACCAAAGCAACGTTGGGAGAAAATGGTTTCTTCCACTTCGCCGTTCATCACTGAAGGAGTCAGGAACCTGGAGGCAGGAGCTGATGCAGAGGCCACGGAGCGGAGCGGCGCTGCTCACTGGCTTGCTCAGCCTGCTTTCTTACAGAACCCAGGACCACTAGCTCAGGGGTGGCCCCACCCACGGTGGGCTGAGCCTCCCCCATCCATCACTAATCAAGAGAAGGCTGCACAGGCCTGCCTACAGCCTGGTGCTATGGATGCGCTTCCTCACCTGAGGCTCCCTCCGTGCCCAGGACTCTAGCTCGCGTCAAGCTGCCAGAGAGCTGACGTAACCAGCACAGACCCCGGCTCCCTTATGCCCAGAAAACCCTGCAAAAGGCATCGTCCTTTATATCAGGCCTTGGAACACGTGTAAGCTGAAGAAAGGACACCCAGAGAAACAGATTCAATGATACTCAAAGGAGGGTTTAACAATTTATTGGAAAACAAATTCAGGCCACTAATCCATAATATGCATTATATATAAATGCTGTGGTTCATGATACATATCTGGCATCGGCTGAAGAATTATAAGATCAAATTCTTTAATAAAAAAAACACCCTTCATTATTGATCAGTATAAATATAAATTATAAAAAAGTCATTAAAATGGCTCAATACTTTTTCTATCCTTACAAGAAAAGTTCAAAAGGCAAGAGAGAGAGAAATATAACTTCTGCTAAACCAGTTTTAAACACTGGTAATTAATACATCGTTGCATGTGCAAAATTCTGCAACACTTGGTTGGCCTTTTAAAAACACCATCACAAGGCACTGTGAAATCTGAGCAATGGAGAAAGCATGAAAGACAACTCAAGCCAGGTACTTCTGGAGAGGCGAAGCCACAGGAAATCCTCACTGCTCATATGTGCCACTCCATCCTCGACAGTCTTCCCCCAGGAACCAGAAATGACAAAACTTTCTTATTCAGGGTCCATCTTAGCACAGGCTAACCCTTGACTCTGTTTCCCCCTCAGTTCTTGCTGTCACACTATCCATGGTTCTTTGCTCTCTGCTTTTACTTTCTGGCCAAGTTTCCCATGAACTCTAATTCACATATGATATACAGGCATATATCTGGATGGCAGACAAAAAGTCATCAGTAAAATTAAACTTTAAAGCATCATGGGTTGGTTTATGACCTCACTCCATCAGACCTCTGGCTGCCACCTGGGACAGCCTTGCTTTCTCCGACCTAGCAACCCAGCGATCACCATCAGGCTGGATCCAGGAGAAAAGAAGTCAGAAGGGGAGAGCCAAGATCCCAAATTGTGTGCTTTTTGTCTACCTCTATGTAGGTGAGAAGATGCCTTTTAAATAATATTTGCACTCACCCATAGCAGATTCTTGAAGTCTGAAAGACAGAGGGGAATCCACATTCGTACAGCCCTGAAAACTGGGTTTGTTTTTGGCACATGAACTTGGCTTTTCAATCTTCCAGAACGGTTAGGATTATTCCAAAGACAGTCATCAAATTAAAAACAATCAAACAAAAATTTTTGTACCACAGAGACCAATTTGCTTTCATTCTTTTAGTTGGAGAAGAAATGTTGACCTTTCGGAAGCCAGTGTTGGAAAATAAAAAAAAAAAAATCATGCTGAAAAGTCTAAAGGTAGTTTTTATAAATCCCAACACTGAAAAAGACTGTGTTTGTTCCTAACGTAAAGACATTGCTGGACTCAGTTGCTTCCCAAAGAACATGTCTTCTCCCATGAGCAAATAAAGAGTGGAGCACAGGGAAAGCAGCCAGGAAAGTTCAAGGCCTGGGTCCAGCAGAGCTCAAAGAGGAGTTTGGTAAATAGGTCAGTGTCTCTATATAAAATCACGATGATTACAAGTTTTAAGTGTGATTTTCCGACAATACTTTAAAATAAAGGTCTTGGCAAATCTATAACACATGTCCACAGTGCAGAGCGCAGAGTAAGGACACGGACACAGCCACTGCCTGCCCCTCGGAGAGGACAGTTCCTGCTGGCAAAGAAACCACCTTCCGAAGTGCCCCGCCCCCCAACAGCAGGGGTAAAGTGACAGGAAGGTTGACTTCTGGGGGTTGGTGGCCAAGTCTAGGGTAAGGAGAGATTAGACCCTTGGGATTTTAGCATTGAAATCAACTTTGAACTTCAGCAAACTCCTTGCCATGTGGAGAAAATGTGAGGGAGAATTCTAGTCCTAGAGTGTGGGAGGCACAGTGAAGATGGAGGAGGTTCCAGCAGCAGGACAGCAAAGAGAGGCCAGGGGACAAGGTGGGAACAAGATGGGGACAAGATGAAGAGCCCATGTAGTGCTGCAGCCCCTCCCCCGGGGCGGGGTTAGAGCACCCCAGGCAGGAAGGCGGATCCTCAGGCTGTGCATTGCAGAGCGGACCTCCTGAGAAGCCATGGGCAGCGATAGGCACGAGAAAGAGGACAGAGCAGCAACAGCCTTTTTCCAGGACAGATGCTGAGTAGAAGAGACCTGTGAGAGCATCCTTCTACCATTCATATAGTTAATATAAAACCCACTCTCTTCTTCAGAAAGCAAAGGTGAACGCAGTAAAGGGAACCCCGAGGGACCCTTCTTCACCGAGATGACAGCTTTCAAGGTCTATAAAATAAAATCTAGTCTTTGAAAACTGAGTCTGGTGGCCTGGGAGATGCAAGGAAGTTATGCCTCCCCGGAGGGAGGAGGGGTCAGTAAGCCTCACCCGCACGGAGGCTCAGGAGAGCCCTTCTCCGCCGAAGACCCCCCCCCCCGAAGTGTCCTCAGACAACCACAGTCCCACCGTGGGACCGCACAGGGTTGAATTAAACCACCCACAAGGGTGGCCGTCTGACGAAGCTCGGTCCTCCAGGCTGACCACCTCAACCCAAGCATCCGGAGCAGTCCCGAGCAGCCTTTGCCCCAGGCTTCCCAGCACTCTGCTCTCAACTGTCCTGGTCCCTTGCCAATCCCATCAGGCGACCTGGGGAGAAGGGACTACGAAGCTGTGCTGTGTGTTTGTACGCGTTACTAGAATCACACGTCAGGAGGCATCCCAGCGTTGCAGGCCCACTCTGGCCAGCTAGCCAAGAGGTAAGCAAGTCTCTGCCTGCAGTCTCTCCTTGGTGTCCAGCACAGGACCTGGGGTTAGCAAGCTGTGTCTAGACAGCGGGGGTCGCCGTTGCGCTGGCATGCGGTATCTCAAGTGTTTCCAGAACCTGGTCTTGGCAGATGGCGGTCTCTCTTTAAAGTCTCCCGACCAGCAAATAGCTCCATGTTTCTGCTTAATGAATTGGATCGACTCTGGCATTTTCTCATAGTCTTGGATTTTCTCCAACTCAAGCAGGACAACTTTAATTCCTTCCCGAATGAGAGCATTATAGATGGCTATTTGTTCTTCAGACGACTGAGGCATCCAGCCGAAGCCTCCCATGTCCCGCACTAAAATGATAATCAGCCTCCTGCTTTTCCTTACGTTTTCATTAGTAACATCGATAGTATCTGCAAGACACAGCACAAGGCGATCACGAGCTGCCGTCCACCTGCTCTTTCCTGAACTCAACACTCAGGAAGTTCTTCCCAGGCTCTTTTCTGTGTCTCCCGTTACTTTCTCCCTGCCTTGCTTGAGATTCAGAGACATCTGAATTTTACAGACAAGCTCAAAAAACTGGCCCATGAAAAATGGACTTTGCTCTTAGAACTCAGAAAAGCCTCAGTAAAAACTTTTAGGACTTCCTGTTAAACTGCTTGATCTGTAACAGTCTTACTTTATTAAAACAGCCAAGGACTGACTGTTAGATCTAACTAGTCATTAATTTTTCCAAAAGAATAAAAGTCAACCAATCATTGACCCAACAAACTGAAAGAAAATTATTATAGGCCACTGAAGAAACTCTTTACAGTCTTCAGATATGTACGATGGAGCCTGCTAGAATCCGGACTCGGCGACCAACTGCAAAGGAGCATTTACATACCTTCTCCAGCTTGGTCATCCCTTCCGTAAATGAACAGCTTGTATCCAAACTGCCCCTCCAAGACCTCAGGCAGCAGCTTAAACACGAAAGTGTCCAGGCTCGAGGAGGCTCCCTCTCTGACAGTCTTGGGATAGAGTATGTATGCATCGTAGGTCTTTCCATCTGACGCTAAAGGGAGATGAAACACAAACAGGACTGTGATAGGACTGAGAAAGTGGACACCACAAACGTTCATTTCAGCAGGGTCCAGCTGCCTGAGTGGAAGCGCAACACCAAACTCAATATAGTACAAGTTTGGAGTTTTGTTTCCTCATCTGCCTTAACATCTTAAAGAACAATATGCCTTCTCATACATTTTTGTGACTGCATTTAATTTTTCCTCATATATTTAAATAGTGTCCAGAGTAGATTTTTATTGTCAACCTGACCCAGCTAGTCACCTGAGAAAGGTACAGCCTTGGCTGAGAAAGCTTAGGCCTAAGACTAACTTAGGCCATTTTCTTGACTGATGATTGATGTGGGAAGGCCAAGCCCACCGTGGGCAGAGCTGTCCCTAGGCAGGCCCTCCTGAATGGCTTAAGAAAGCAGGCTGAGCATGGGTAGCAAGCTTGTAAGCAGCACAGCTCCGCAGTCTCTGCTTCAGCATCTGCCTCCAAGCTCCTCCCTTGAGTTCCTGCCTTGATTTTCCCAGAGATGGATTACAAGCTCTTAGGATGAAACACACTCTTCCTCACAAGGTTGGTTTTGATCATGGATTTTTATCACAGTAGTAGAAACTCTAATTAAGACAAACATGACAAAGCCTACAGTCAGATTGTAACTTTTGACTATTAACAAAAACCTATCATATCACTCTTCTGAATGTGTAACATGTAATCTAAATAACAGAATTTTATAGACACTAGTATTAACTGTTAAAACATATGAGCAACCCTTTTCTATTTCAGAAATATATTTTACTCATTCCTTTTCATACATTCATAGAGTGTATTTGGTCCATACCTGCCTCTTCCCTGCTCCTCTCCAGACCCTCCTCTGGGCCCCTCCTCCTCCTAACTTCATATCCTTCCTTTATCTTCCTCAGAGTCCAGTTAGTGCTTCTGGTACTCACATCCACACAGAGCCTTCTTCTGGAGCACAGGTAGCCTACCAGGGGACCCAACACCAAGGCAAGCTGACTGTTCCCAGCTGGCTGCTGGGGCCGGGCATCCTGAGCTCCTCATTCTCCTTGCTGGGGTGGTAACTGGCCAGGGCTCCTACAGGTGGTCCTAGCTTCTTTTCTAACTTTAGCAACGTGCAAATTGTTCCTATTTCTCCTTAAACTTGTACATTTGTCTGTATCTATAGAATATTGTTTGTTACATTTGCAAGGTTTTTGTTTTTTTTTTTTTGTTTGTTTTTTGTTTTTTTACTTCTACAAAAATTGCATACTGAGATTCTCTAAATGTTGGCATATGTTTTCATTATTACACATTTTTTGCTGGGGGTTGGCCTGGTGCTATGTATTCTAATGCTAATTACTGCCATCCCTCAAGATCTGGTTACACCCCAGCGGAGCACATACACCAAGTGATGCTGTGTAATTCTGCTCCTCAGTTACCCCTGATTGGCTAATAAAGTTGCTGACAGCCTGGCTGTGCAGATGAGAGGTAGGAGGAGCTTAGGTTCCTGGGCTTGGGGTCTCAGAAGGACCATGAGGAGGGGAGACAAAGCAGGAAGAAGGGCAGGAGGTCACCATGTGGTAGACAGGAGCACATGGCCAAGAGCAGCTTGCTCTGAGGACTGGCCTGACAGAGCAGAAGCAGCCCAAGCGGAACTGTGTGAGTATTTATGGGGATTTTGGATAGGAAGCTGACGAGATAGCTTAGAGGGTTGGTATCTGCCCAGCCCTAGTGATTTAAGGCTTACTAGAAATCTAACACGTTTCTGTTTCCTTTATTTGTAAAACAGCTGTTAAGGAATAAAGGTTAGCGCACAGGGGATTCAGCTGGCCTGCCTGTAGGGTCCTAGCAACTGCTTATGTCATCATCTGCAGCTGCCAGTTGCTCCAGGTGTGTGCGGGGACATAAGGACCACCCACATCCCGGCTCTCTTTCTTTCTGTTCCAGCTTTTCTTTCTCTTTCTGTTCCCACTGTTTCGCTTTCTTTCTCTCCCTCTTCCCCCCCCCCCTTTTCCCCCTCATGCTCACTCACTGTCTCTATCCCTTCTCCAGGCCCCTTTCCCACAATAAACTTCCTTATCCCAGATCTAATATGTCATAATTCCTCAGGGTCGGGTACACCTTGGCATGGGCCTGCCATGGCTCCTCCCACCATCATATCATCATTAAAGATCATAACAGTAACCGCCGCCATAATTTACTGCATTTAATTAACGTATACAAAATAATTCACTTAAAATACATTAACTCTAACAATTATGAGTTTCCTTGTGACATCTTCATGTGTATAAAATACCCAGATCACCCTCGCCCCATGACTCTCTTCTCTCCTCCCTCACAATGACTTTTTTAAATCCTCATGTCCTGCATGTTTTCCAGTCATTGTGTTTTACTACAGAATTGCCCTCACATAACATCTAATGCTCCCTACCTACGCTCAATACAGCCGCACCTTCACCACCTTTTTCTTACTCTCTTCTCTAAATATCTCGAGCCTACATTCTACTTATTCTTCTTCCTGTGTTAGTTTGAAATGATGTGATACTAAAGGGAAAGAGGGACCTCTCCTGGTGTGGGACTCTCTCTCTTTCATTTGAATGTGAATCATGGAGTCTACAGACACCTACAGCATAGAGCATGCCCTAATAGTGGATTGTGGGTAAATAATTTACAGACTGGGGCTCTAACCCCTTCTGTGCCCTGTCAATATGGAAGCTAGGGTAGTAACTTAGAAATGAGTGGCATCAATGATTATCAGTTATGAAACTCAACAAGAATAAATGTTCCTCTTGTTTAAGCCAACATCATCATTAAAGGCTTATTAAGCATCTCCTAACCATCCAGAGAAAACCATTCCTGGAATATAAAATCATACCTTTTTGGGGGAGAAAATCAGAGCAGGAGTCCCTGTACCAAAGCACAATATCAACCTTGAAGATTTTATAGATGAAAACACAGCATATAATTGTAGCCGTTAGGATGACAAAGGTCCCAATGAGATAATTCTTGAAATCAGGGACTAAAACAGAAAAGAAATGAAAATTATTAAAACCAAAAACAATGAGAACTTCTGGCACAGTGATTTGAATGTGTTTACTGCAAACAAAGTACATTTAGGAAGCTCTTCGTGTCCAGACCCATGTGCGTTCGCTCACCATCACTGGTATCCATGATCACTGACGAGCTGGGCGGATGAAGCCTAATTCTATAGAAAACTAAGGTGCATTCTGCCAAATTCCCACCTAAAGCAAAGGACACAGTAAGAGAAAACCCACCGGAACCGGAACCACAGAAGTCAGAAGCCTCATGGTCCCTGAGGGAGGAGAGCAAGTTAGGAAGAAACAAGAGACGGAGGAGAGAAAGGAAGTGACATTCCACAATCCCACTCTTTGGTCTCTTCTAACCGTTCACTTAAAGGAGAGAGTCGTGAGAAGTGGGAGGTTGAGGGGAAGGAGGGTGAAGAAGAATCCACACGAGGAAAAGCGAAGGAGGCACCTTTTCTCTGTCAAGATATGGGTGGCATCCAGGAAAAATCTAAATACTTAACCATTTTACCTTTCTGTTTTACTTATTTTTACTTACATTTATACACATGCCCTGTTTTTTTGTTTTGTTTTGTTTTGTTTTTTTGTTTTTTTTTTAAGTAAACTGTAGAGTATTTAAGCAAAATTTCATAATCCTTTTCAGGTTCTTGACTATGGCAAGTCTTGAAAAGTGGTGACTTCAGACATCCTTGCTGTAAGCAGGATATTTAGGCTTTTTGTGTACAACCATCTTGTTTGGTCAAGTGCTTAAAAATAGCCATGGGATACTCGAAATGAAACAAATAGAGGCCACTCCTGGCCCAGGGAGAAGAATAACTTGTAAGAGAAATAGTTGGCATCATTATGGATATTTTAGTCACAGAAACTAAGAAGAGTTCCTGCCCCTGGGATTCAGGCTGCCTCCAGAGCTGCACCAGCCAGAGGCAGGGAGAAAGGCTGAGGCCGGGCGGTGGGCTGGGAACGTTTCCTAGAGGAATGGAGAATTCAGCCCAAGAAGCAAAGCAGATGTGAAGCCTCAGCTGAAGGGGCGAGCAATGTTCCTGGCAAAGCCCTGGACTCGGCTCGGCTACACCAGCTATTACGTTAAGCAAATGTCTGTCACCTACCTGGGCTTACTAACCGGACGTACGCTGACTCTAGAACGTTGGTGTTCCTGACGATGCAGATGAACGGATACTGATAAAACTGGCTTTGCACTTCTGAAATGTTAAGTATTGTCATGAGCGCGTACTTTCTTTTGACGGAAGGATGCTCCACACTGTTCACAAGAGAGAGGAGGGGAGTAAATGGCATGAGTAAGATGCAGCTACAGGAAGTAAGACCTGCAGCCCCAGTTAATTGCTTTATTTCTAACATAAATTACAGCTCCAACAATCACCTTCCCCAGGCATGTGCGTAACAGTTTGTTGGCAAGACGATCTGAAATTATCTAACCTCAAGGTCAGGGGCACTCAACAGCAAGGAAATCAACATAATTACCAGCTTTCAAGAAAAAAAAAAGGCATTGCACACACACACACACACACACACACACACACACACACACACACACATTCTGGCTCCATGGAGGTATGTGACTGGGGCAGATGACAAAGGGCGTGGCATGTGAAGGGGCAGGGAGGAGGAGCTAATGGACACCAGGAGATCTTTATCCTGGAGACTGAGGCCAAGTGACTGCTGTGTGTCCCCTTCCACGTGCTTTTCCAGACTACTCACTCAACACATGTGCTGAGCAATGTGGAATGAAATGCAAGAAAAAGGCTTTTAGCTGTCGTGGAATTTGTACATTGACACATCTTTTAAACAATAACAACAACAACAAATGAGAACTTCTTACAAATGTCTAGCGAGTCGCAAAGCTCAAACTGGGCAGCAAAGGGCTTGGACAAGCCAACCATCAGCCATGCCTCGGCCTTATAGTCAGAACAGAGCAGGCGTGGCCACGGAGTGCACTATGGAAAAACAGACTAGCAAAACTCACAGCTGATAGTCCTCGGCTAGGAGTGGGTCGTCCATTTCAATTTCCGACCCATTCCACTTCCAGTAGACAAGATCCGTGAACTGGCCCGTGACGTTGCAGGTCAGCTGCAGCGTGGATCCTGGAAAGCAACGCATGTTCACTGCCAAGGCCAGCCGGCCTTTACGACAATCTGCCTATGCTCACAAACGGCTATTGAATAAAAATTTTAAAGTGCAGAAAAGCAAAATGAAAGAGGAAATTTCCCTAGTGCTCATCACCCAGAGAACAGCACTGTTTGTTTTGTAATCACTCAGTCTTGCTCTTCCCTCCTCGCCAGCCGCCTGAGTGGGGTTCTACCGTCTATTTGTGTGGAGTTATTGTCACCTGGGCCCCTCAGCCTCCGTGACTAGTCCTCCGAAGAGCCCTGTTGGGATGAGCTTCATTCACATTTCGTCACGTAACTGTACACTAACAATACTGTTGCTGTGGAACAGAGTTTCGAAGACGTTGTAATTATGATTAATGCTGTAAGGGACAGGCTGATCACGTCACTGTTTGAAAACCTGGAGCCAGAGGGGCCTGTTGTGGCGGGATTCAAACCCACGGCCTCGCTGCCTCTCCAGCCCTCACAAGAAGATGCAGTCTCAACCCCAAACCCAATCAAGTGAGGCTTGCCCGGTGCACAACCATCATTTCAGACCGAGCCCCAGAAAACGAGGCCTGGCCACTAAGCATTGTCCACTGGGGGCAGGAAAAGCAAGCTCAGCCTTCACTGAAGTTTCCTGTGAGTGGCTCTGGAGCAGGAACTGGGGGCCTCGAGCACCCTAGCTATGGGCTTTATCACAGCCTAGCCGACCCGCACGATTTCTTCACCTCTATTCATGTGCATGGGTGTTTGGCCTGCATAGATACACGTGTGTGTGTGTCTGGTGCTCACAGAGGCCAGAAGAGGGCGTTGGCTCCCCTGCAGCTGGCAGGCGTTGTGAGCTGCCATCTGGGCGCTGGAAACTGGACTCGGGTCCCCTGTGAGAGCAGCCAGTGCTTTTAACAACCTAGCCATCTCCAGGCCTCCCACCGACACTTCCGGAACCATTGGTGAATTACCACGTTTTCCCTAGGTTAGCACTCGCCAGCTCCTCACTGCTGCTCACGTGTAGGAGACATTCTTTAGCCTCTTGGTCAGAATGAGATGCTGGCGGCTCACTGCTCTTCCTGGGCTCGGGAACTTCCCAGAAAGCTTTCCGGCTAGCTGAATTAATTTTTGCTTATGGAAATGCTTTGGCACAGATTTTCATGGCCAAAATCTGTAAGAAGTATTTCTTCACTGTACCTGTCTTCACTCACTATTGTCTAAAAGCCCTCTTGTACCAAATCAGGAGAAAATCGTGCAAGTGTGTGATGTTTTAATTGCCTTTTGTTCTTAACGCTTTCTTGGATGGAACGCACTGTCTTCTGGGCTGTCTTGAACAAGTGACTGAATTTAGTTCCAGACATTAGCTGAAGTGAAGTTTCTTCTTGAGTTTATGCCACCTTTACTACAGGATACCTTCTCACGTATTTTCTACCTTCTCAGTAGAAGTAACTGTGTACCTACATTCATCCTCCTCGCGTCTGTCGGTGTGTGTGTGTAGATAAAAATGCAGATGTATCTGTGTGTGCGTGTAGGTGTGTTTATGCCTGTAAACGTGCAGGTATGCCTGTGTGTGTGTGCATGTGTTTCTATGTGTGTGTGTGTGTGCATGTGTGTGTGTGTGTGTGTGTGTGTGTGTGCATGTGTGTGTGTGTG